GGCGCCGCCCCTGGCGCGTTCCGCGCGCCTGGGAGGGTGGTCCAGCGCAGATCCAAGAAATGCGCGCGGACCGCCAACAGTTTATGTTTATGCATTTGTTTGTTCCGTCCTTCCTTGGCCGCTTTCGCTGGCCGCGCCCCGCTCGCAAAGCTTCGGCATGGCCTTCCAAGGCCCTTGCATCCTGCTCGTGCGTCCTTGATCTCTGAGTTGAGTGTAGTTTCGAACGCTCCAGGTGTTTCAGCGGCTGGTTTCGTTTCCAAGTCACGCTTCGGCTTCTGAAGGGTCATTTGAGCGGTCTTGGGCCGTGCTCGGGCAGCTCGCGGCCGTCTCTGGGCACCTTGCGGCCGCGGATGCCCCTGGGGTGCCGAGAAGCGCGTCTGGGATGAACACGTGGAAGTTGGAAAGCGTGACGGGGGCCAGCCCTCCCGTTCTTTCCAGCCCTGGCAAGTTCCCTTGTCTGTTTGTACAGCCCTGGCGACCGCATCCTTACTGTGTCGGGCTCGCTACACCCCCGCCAGTGTGTCCAGCCCTGGCCACTTCCAGTTTCGCTGATCTTCCAACTTCGACTTTGTCCAGCTTCCCTGATTAGGAAAGGGGGAGAGTCTTGACGGGGTGATGCTTCAAGGGGTACCAGCGGCGGCCTAGGAAAGCTGTGCTTCCTCTGGCGAATCTGGCCGTGGACCAGGCGAGAGCGCGGGTCGGTCGAGCGGCAAAGGAGTGCTGGATGGCGATTTGCACATGGCAAGAGGCGGGAGAAGAGAGGCCGGGCTGAGGGCGGCCGCGGAGGGGAGGAGCTGGCGGGGGGGGGGCGTAAACTCAGACCATGAAGGTCTTCGTCAGCATGCTGCGGCCCACGCTCGCACGAGTCGTAGAAGGAGGGACTCCGGATCCTCGCAGAAGATGCCCAGCAGGTCGGCATGCAGGCATTGTCCTGCAATCGATACTCCTGGCAGGTCGCGTCAAGTTAGGAACGAACAGCGAACAGCCAGCGGTTTGAACATGAATCTAGTAATGGGCGTGCCATAGGGCAGGCTGTGCCTGGGGCACTGGGGGGGCTATTCATGCGAAAGCTGACGCGCCGCAAAGGCAATGCTAAAGCTTCAGGTGTAGGGGGGGTCGCGTCTGAATCGCGCCCAGAAGAGAAACTGACCCCCGTGGACGACGCCGTAGCGAAAACGCTCCCGGCGAAATCATGCAGGCAGTGGAAGGTAGGGCCCACAGAAAAATAGCGCCGGAGAGCACAAAGATCGGGCGACGAAATCTACACACATTCACTGCCCCCCGGCTGGGCCCTTCCTGGGCCCCGGAGCTGTGCATACGCCTTCTTGGTCAGGCCAGGAGGGCGTGGCGTATACACTGCTGCTGCGTTCAGGATGGGCCTGGCCAGGGGGCAGCGGATGTGTATAGATCTCGTCGCCCTCAATCGGCCACGCGCGAAGGTGGGATAGGGGGAGGGGGGAGTCTTCTTAGAAACACCCCTGTTTCTAGAAGGCTCGGGCCTTCTCTATAGATGTAGGGCCCCAGCCTTCTGGGAAGCAGCGTCCTTCTGGAAAACCTTCCCCCCCCCCCCTTCCCCCCTTGTGCGTGCCGACAACTATAAGGGCGGGTGGGTTCGGGGTGGCGACGATCGAAGCAGGCTCGACGTGGAATGTTCGCATGTCAGCGACGATTCATAATCTGGCTCTGACTATTTTCCTGAAGTGCGAGTGGCGTCGGGAGCTCCTCTCCTTCTGCTCCGAAGCCGCCCCTGCCCCTGCTCAAGCCTAATCCTGACGGCCCCGGGGGCGCCGATGGTCGCCCCGTGGGCCGCGGTCGGGCCGTGGGCTGCTTCGGTCGCGACCGCCTGGCTCGCCCAATGCCCGCCCTGCCCGGAGCCGCGGGTGACATCCGACTTTTGCCTCGCATGCCCGTCCCAGGCGGTCGTCACCTGCGGAGCCTGTCCGGCCTGCCCGCACTGCCCGACCTGCAGCCTGCGGCAACGGGCCGGGTTGTTGGGCGGTGGGCGCCGCCCTGGTCGTGGTTTCTTGGCCAGCGGGGGCTGCCGCTCGCTGCTCGGGGCGTTCGGATGCCAAAACCAAGGGGGCCGCAAAGGATTAGGGCTGACGGCGCCATGGCGGCGCCGCTCATGGCTGGGCTCTCACCGCCTGGCATCTCTCTCTTTCTGGTTTCGCCCTGGCCGCGCAGCCGCGGATGCGAGCCGGGCCGGGCCCCCCTCCGAGGGGGTCTCCCACCGAAGGTCGGACCTCCTCCACAGTTTCGTTTTTCTCTGCCCGAGGGCGGTGGATTTTTTCGTCGGCCTCGTCGCGGGGAACGCGCCGGTCTTCGTCGGTATCTGGCTCAACGGGATGTTCGCGCCGATGATCGTGACCACCAGTCATTTGAGATTCTGGGGGCGCACAGCGCGTCGGGCGCCGCGCGGGCCAGGGCGCGGCTCGAGCCTCGAGCGCTCGGCGAGCATCGGCCGGCTACCGCGCGGGAGTCGGCCATCAAGCGTGTCCGCCGTCGGGCCCGCGGCTTCGGCGACCGACCGAAGGACGCGGACTGCGCTGGGGCCCTTCAGGAGCTCTTCGAGTGCGAGAGTCTGCATTCGAACATGGGCGAGGCCTGTACTTTGCCGCGACTACGATGTTGATAAGCTCAATGTGCTGCGACGGCCGCCTGGCGATAGGCCTCTGCAGCCGCGCGACGTCGCGTTTCGGCGCGTCTCCGAGGCGCTGGGCTACTCTGACCGCGCGGCCGAGGGCCAACATTTCCGAAGACGAGGTCGTCATCGTGCCCTACTGGGCTCCGCTCCTTAAACCTCAGGACCCGCGGAACCGCTCGCGCCTCGTCGACTTCCTCCGGCGGCTAGCCGCTCGAGAGCTTGCGGATGGTCGACGGCGCCGGAACTCGCGTGTCTGGATCTTCGTGGCCAAGAGGAACAGTGACATCCACGCGGTCGACGCCCAGCAGCCGAACCAGCTCCACCGGTTGTCACCTCGTACCGCGCTGGCGTGTGGGGAGGCACTCGGGCCCGTCGACTTGCTCGACGCTGTCGACGCGAGCTCCGAAAACTTGGCCGACTCCAACGGCTGCTACGAGTCTCTGCGCGCGGGGCCCGTGAACCCCATGGGCGGCTTCTACCAGTTCGCCGCCCCGGCGCGGGGGAGCTGGATGCGCTTCGACATCGAGGTCTCCGCGGACGAGCTCGGGGCCGACTCCGTCTACGACGAGAAGCTCGGGCGCCGCGTGGCCGCGGCGGGCGGCGAGGTCGGGTGGCCGCGGTTTGCCGCGCTGCCGATGGGCTCGGGCTGGGCGGCGTGGATCCACCGCAGGTTGCTCGTCGACGCGATGGGCGAGGTGGGGCCCCCGGGCGATGGGCGGCGTCTCGACGTGACCCGATCCCCGGCGCTTGTCGGGCAGGCTGTCGTCAGAGCGCCGCGCGTCGACAATGGAAATTTCGCATCGTTCTGCGCGCCCGCGCTCGACGACCGCCCAGGGAAGCTCACCGCCGAGCTGCAAAGGCGAGGTCTTCGCTGGCACGAGCTCGAACGCGCCCAGTCTGGCCTCGCCATCCTCGGGGCGGCGCTCGACGGGCGCGGGGGCCGGCTCAGGCGCGCGCCGCGACGGGTCCGGCGGTTCTACCTCGCGCCCCACCACGCGTTGCAGCAGCTTTGGCTGGCGCGCCAGCGGCTGCGGCGGCTCGACGGCCATTTGGCGCGCTGCAGAAGTTCCCGCGCTGCGCCCGAGGCTCAGCGCGCTGGGGGCCTGCTGCGACGCGTTCATTTGGGGGGGGGGGCCTGGCGCCCGTCTTCCGGCTGTCTTGCGACGTCGCGGGGGAGCCGGCCGTCGCGGCGGGGCTCATCTTCCCGGGCGAGGTCGACCTGCGCCGCGCGCCGTCGGACGTCGCCTTCACGACGGACAGCTCGCATCAGGGCCACGCCGTCTGCTGCGAGGCCCGCCTGGGGCCGCGGGGGGTTCTTGTCGCTGCGAGATGGCTGGAGCGGCGGCGACTCGCCCCGACCGAGATGGAGGCCGCGCCCGACGACGAGCAGTTCGAGGGCATCGTCGCCGGGCGCGCCGACCTGTCCGACCCGCCGCTGATCGACGCGCCGCCCTGGCTGCAGCGCGCGGCTGCGATGCGGCGCCGCGTCGAGCTCGAGATCGGGGCGCCGCTGGAGCCGCTGACGGACGCTCCGTTGGGCGCTGGCCGCTGGGCCGAGCGGCGCCGAAGTGCCCAGCGACGCCCGGGGCGGATCCGCGCCCTCGAGGCGCGCGCCGCCGTCGCGCCGCCGTGGAGGGCCGCGGGCGACGTCGTCTTCCACGGAAAGGAGATCCTCAGCCCGCGCGACAACGCGTCCTCGGTCCTGGCCTTCGCGAAGGGAAGAGCTACCAATTCTGGGCCCCTGGCGCAGCGCCACAGCGCCGCCGCGCGGCGCCCGTCCGCTTCGGGCGCGTGGTCCGCTGGCGCCCGCGGCGCGCGCCAGGCTGCCAGAACGTCGCGGGCCGCGGGGGCCGGGCCGCCGACCGCGGCGAGCTCCGCGCTGCACGCGACCGCGGGCGAGGAGCCCTCTCGACGCCGACTCAGCGGAGCCGCCGGGCGCCCGCGGGGCCCCTCGCTGCCGGCGGCCCCCGCCCGCCGCCCGCCGCAGCCCCCGAGTTGAGGTCGGCGCGGGGCGGGCCGAGCTCCGGAGGCCTGCAGAGGCTGAGGGCAGCTCCAAGTTTTCACTTTCATCATTTCTCCCGTCTCGTTC